GATAATTAGGAATTATCCAGACAAAGCAGTAGGATGAGAACCTTCTAATTGGGAGAACACCATATTCAAACATTGAAGCGACAGCTTATGAGTGTGTATAAACAACAGCGTAGTGTTCCTAGTGTAGACATTTTGAGTGGTAAAATAAGGCTAAAGAGACCAAGACCAGGTCATGGATGAGGTGGTGGCTGTAATTTTTCAAGAAAGAATTTGCCATTCAGACCACAGTGAGTTCCTCCAGCTGCAGAGTCTTCAGCTCTCTTCCCAGGAAGACTCTAGTCAAAGACGAAGCATAACAGTACTAGGTCTTGGCTGTTTCTGCCCAACAGAGGATTCCTCTAATGGGTAACCTGCTGCAGTGCTCTGCACTGGGTTGGCTGAGACCATCAGGTCTGCATCACGGTTTGAGGACCCCTCTGTCCAATCCTACTTCTTTTTCCCTTTGCTTTCATCCACATAAATCCCCAATAGAGCTTTTAAACTCTTAACTGTATCTCCCAATAAAGAACTTAACTGACATAGATGACAATGTTTATCACAAGAAAGAGGCAACATTTAGGCTGTGGGTTTATGGTTTTCAAATGTGTTCTTAAAACTTAAAAAAAAAATTTTTTTTAAATCTGTTTGTTTTAAGACATCTCCTATTTATAACCCAGATGAGTACAGGGCTACTCTGACTGAAATGGAGGTGCGAAACCCAGCACTCAACCCCCACGTGGCCTATAGCACTGCAGGACTCTTCCAGGCAAAGCTGGGGGCGGTGGGGGAGACCACCAAAGGAAACATTTTTAAGCTGTAAAGTGGTCACACTTTCATTTCAGGAAGATGGTTCTGGTGGCTGTAGGATGAACTGGAATGTGCAACAAGTGACCTATTAGAAAACTTTCTGTCCAATCTGAAACTTTTTTTTCTGGACTTTCTACCCCCGCTCCTAATTTTTATTGTTTATGGTGAAAGTTTATGCCACAAATTAGGTTTCTATTTGACAATTCTACACAAGTTGTTCAGTGACACTAGTTACATTTTTCACAATGTGTCCACATTCTCAATTGCATTCTGGTTGTTCCATTTCCAAGACTCTATCTAGTTTTCCTACCCACTTGTCATCTCATCTTTGCTTTAGAGTAACTGTTGTCCTTTGGTGTTGTATAGATGATTTTTTAATGAAGCCCATACACACAGGTAATATCCTTTATTTTGTGTCCTAATCTGTTAGGTTGCTAAAGGGCAACCTTAGGGAACAACTTCAGTTCAAGGTGTAACAAGTCTTTCTGGATGATAATCTCAGGGAGTCCTCCAGTCTTAATCGATCCATTAAGTCTGGACTTTTTACAATTTGGGTTCTCTTCTGCATTTTTCTCCCATGTATCCAGGTTCATCTATTTCAGTCCTGATCAGAATGGCTAGTACTGGTAGCCTGGTACTACCTAGTTCTTCTGCTTTCAGGGCAGAATAGGCTATGGCTTGTGTAAACTATTAGCCCTGTAGATTCATTTCTTTTCATAGACTTTGATTTTCTTCTTTCCCATTTGCTCCCAATGAGTTATTGTTGTTGTTGTTAAGTGCCATCAAGTCGGTTCCAGCTCATAGTGGCCTTGTATAGGGTTTCCAAGGAGTGGTTGGTGTATTTGAACCATCAACCTTGCAGTTAGCAGTCTAGTGCTTATCCTACAGCATACACCAGGACTCCACTCCCAGTGGAGACCAATAATTTTATCTTAGATGGCCGCTAGCAAGTTTTGAAGATCCTAGTGGCTATTCACCTCTCTACAATACAGAACATGAACTTTGTGGTGTGACGCTTATATACTAGGATGTGGTGGTTGGAATTCATTGGGTTTGTTCAATAACTTGTCTATTAAGTAGATGTGTAGTGCTCAGCAGGAACTGTGTGTATAATGTTGAACAGCACAAATACCAGCCTTGCTCAGTAGATCTTAACAGTTCAGTGGCTCAGGCCCAGACAAGGAAGGCCTCCAAGGTACAATAAAGATTCCAGTAGATCAGGTGGGTTTACTCAAACTGAGACATGTTCAATTAGTAAGTGGTATGATCACTCTACTGTCTTGATAGTATTTGCCTTAAAAAAAGATGATTTCCAAAATTTTAATAAAAAGTTGCACATGTGCAAATTTATATTGGATCAATATGTAAAACATATGTTTTACTTAGTCTCAAGTTAAAAAAGAAAAAGCAAATGTTGGATGAAGGATGACCACACACTTATATTCCTTGATGGGATGGGTGTGCCACTATAGGTGGAGCCCAAAGAGTCCTGGTGGCACTGTAGGATAAGCACTAGACTACTGACCATAAAGTCAGGTCAAACCCACCAGTCATTCAGCAGGAAAAAGATTAAGCTTTCTTCTCCCATAAAGAAGTAGAGCCTCAGAAACCCTATAAGAGTCACTATGATTAAGAATCAACTCAATGGCAATGGGTTTGGGGTATACAAGGAGCCCTGGTGGTACACATGTTAAAGAGTTCACCTAATTGAATGACAGGGATATGAGCCCACCATCCATTTAGTGGGATAAAGATATGACAATCTGTTTCTGTGAAGATCACAACTTTGGAAACCCTAGGGGGCAGTTATAGTCTGTTCTATAGGATCATTAGATGACAGTAGGCTTGTTTTGTTTTGTATAAATGGACAAATGGAAGTGAATGGAGAAATGGATGTATGAGTTATGTATGTACAGAATAGATTTTTAAAAAAATGAATGGGTGAGAGTAATTGATGGAATGGTTATGGATACATAAAGGTGAAAAAAGGAGTCCTGGTGGCACTGTGGGGTAGGCAAAGTCTGCAGTTCAAGAAACACGAAGCTATCTGCATCTGTAAAGATTTACAATCTAGAAAATTCTACATGAGTCAAAATCAACTCAATGGCAGAGGGTTTGGTTTAAGTTTGTTGTTTGACTCGGTTCTCACTCATACTGACCCTATCTATGCACAACAAAACAAAACACTGCCTAGTCCTGAACCATCCTTACAGCTGTTGTTACACTTGAGCCCACTGCTGCTGCCACTGTGTTAATACATCTCATTAGGGGTCTTCCTCTTTTTCACTGACCCTCCACTTTTCCAAGCATGATGTCTTTCTTCAGGGACTGGTCCCTCCTGATAGCCTGTCCAAAGTATGCCATCCTCACTTCCAAGGAACACCATGTCTACACTTCTTTCAAACAGATGTTTGTTCTGGAAGTCTACAGTCTATCAATATTCTTTGTCAATACTATAGTTCAAATACATTGATTCTTGGATGGTCTTCCTTGTTTGTCCAACTTTCACATGCATAAGAGGTGATTGAAAAAACCATGGTTAGGGTCTGGTGCACCTTAGTCAACAAACTGACATCTTTGTTCTTTGACACGTTAAAGAAGCTATTTTGAAGCAGATTTGCCTAATGCAACACATCATTTGATTCGCTGACTGCTGCTTCCGTGAGAATTGATTGGGAATCCAAGGAAACTTAAGTCTGACAAATTCACTCTTTTCTCCATTTATCATGATGTTATTTATTGGCCAAGTTGTGAAGATTTTCATTTTCTTTACATTGAAGTGTAATCCATACTTAAGGCTATAGTCTTTGATCTTCATCAGTACATATTTCAATTCCTCTTCACTTCCAGCAAGCAAGCTTGTATCACCTGCATACTGAAGGTTGCTAATGACTCTTCCTCCAATCCTGATGCCACATTCTTCTTCATATAATTCAGCTTCTCAGATTATTTGCTCAGCATGTTGTTGTTTGTTGTCAGGTGCCATCGAGTCGGAACCGACTCATAGCGACCCCATGCACAGCAGAACGAAACAATGTCCGATCCTGGGCCAACCTCATTACCGCTGCCACACTTGAGTCCATCAATGATGCCACCTGGCTGATCCATCTCGTTGGGGGTCTTCCTCTTTTTCTCTGACCCTCCACCTTACCCAGCATGACATCCTTCTCCAACGATTGTTTCCTCCGGACAATATGTCCAAAGTAGGAGAGACGAAGCTTAGCCATCCTGGCCTCCAAGGAGCACTCTGGCTGCACTTCTTCCAAAACAGATCTATTGGTTCTTTTGGCAGTCCATGGCACTTTCAGTATTCTCCTCCAACACCACAACTCAAAGGCATCAATTCTTCTATGATCCTCCTTATTCACTGTCCAGCTTTCGCATCCATATGAGGCTATTGAAAACACAATGGCGCACCCTAGTCCTCAAGCTGACATCTCTGTTCTTCAACACTTTAAAAAGTTCCTGTGCAGCAGATTTGCCCAGTGCAATACGTCGTCTGATCTCTTGACTGCTACTTCCGCGAGTGTTGATAGTTGATCCAAGAAGAATGAAGTCCTTGACAACTTCAATCTTTTCTCCATTATAAGAATGTTGTTTATTGGTCCAGTGGTGAGGATTTTTGTTTTCTTGACATTGAGATGTAATCCATATCGAAGGCTGTGCTCTTTAATCTTCATAAGTAAATGTTTCAAGTCCTCTTCACTTTCAGCGATCAAGGTTGTATCATCTGCATATCGCAGGTTGTTAATGAGTCTTCCTCCAATCCTGATGCCACGTTTTTCTTCATAGAACCCAGCTTCTCATATGTATGCATGGCATTTGCTCAGCATACAGACTGAAAAAGTAATGTGAAAGGACATAACCGTGGCACACACCTTTCCTGATTTTAAATCATTCAGTATCCCCTTGTGTTTGAACGATTGATTGTCTCTTGATCCACGTACAGGTCCCTGTTTGGGAGGGTAAAAAGATATACAGAAGTCAGTGTAGGGCATGTTTAGTTTGGGGCGCTATGAGGAATTGCCTGGTATTAGAGATAGACCTAGGAAGTTAAGATTGAGGCAGATCTGCAAATGGCCAAAAAAAAAAAAAGGAAGGGGGTGGGGCCTGACTTGAAGGGAAATGAATTGGTTTGAGGAGGAAAGTGGAAGACTCACAAGATCTTTTTACATCAAGGCCATTCATTCATTCACCCCGCCCACTTTCCTCAGGTCCAGCCCCTATCCTGCAGAGCACGCCTCCGAATTTGGCCACCCGGGAAGTCCAAGAAACTCTTACTGTGAGTGCGTGAGTGAGCGAGAGCGCTACCGAATTCCTCACCGTTTCCGGTCCGTTCCAGACCACCGGCTCAGTTTAGCGGTCACCAAACCCTCTGTGCCTTGCTAGTTACAGAACGTAAGGAAAAAATGGCTTAAATTGATTCTTTTTCGCCTCCGCCCCTTCCCACTTATCTTTCTACCTGGAGGAGGCTGGGCTGGCTGCAGGTTTCCCTGCCGCCGTGTCTCCTGGGGCACAGAGATGAGGTCCTCTGCCGGCCCACTCCCCCGCTTCAACCGTGAGCGCTAAAGCGTCTTCTGTCATTTCCGGTCGCCCGGCTAGGGTAAGGATCTAAGACTTTTGGGGAAGACGCCCAGAGTAGGACAAACCCAGAGAGAAGCGTAAAACGTGGTGGGTTCGGGATTTGTATGCTGAGCTGCGAAGGGGGAGCCAGCCGGACCTGAGACTGGCCTGACAAGAAAGCAAGGTCAGGGACAGTCTTGGTTCTGCCGCCTCCTGGGCTTCTCGTGTACGAATTTACATCTACATCGGTCAAAAACGTATTAAGATGGCTGGCTGCGCCATTACCAACCCCATGCAGATGCTTCAGGAAGAAGCTGTGTGCTCAATATGCCTGGATTACTTCCAGGATCCCGTGTCTATTGGCTGTGGACACAATTTCTGCCGAGGGTGTGTGACCCAGCTGTGGGGCGAGGAGGATGAAGAGAAGGATGAATGGGAGGAAGCAGAGGACCAGGAAGCAGTGAGGGCCATTGGTAGGTGGGACAACTCCATTCGAGAGGTTTTGTACCAGGGAAATGCTGACGAGGCTTTCCAGGACCAAGAAGATGAACCCTGGGTTAGTGAGTGTGGCGTCAGGACCTGGGACTCTGCAAGCTTTGTGTGGGACCAGGAAGAAGATCGAGACTATTCCCTGGGTGGCTTAAGACATGACTTGACAATTGACGTCTACCTAGAAGAAGAGATACTGGAAGAATACAGTGAGGATGACGAGTTCTACGTTGCCAACTACCCGCCTCCTCCTCCAACCCTTCGGCGGCAGTTCACCTGCCCCCAGTGTCTGAGGAATTTTACACATCGTAACCTTCGTCCCAACTTGCAACTAGCCAACATGGTCCAGATAATTCGCCAGATGTGCCCTACTTATCGAGGGAACTGGGGAAACGAGCAGGGCATCTGCTCCAAACATCAGGAAGCCCTGAAACTCTTCTGTGAAGTGGATAAAGAGACTGTCTGTGTAGTGTGTAGAGAATCCAGGAGCCACAAACAGCACAGCGTGGTGCCTTTGGAGGAGGTGATGCAAGAGTATAAGGTGAGAGAAATGGGGGTAGGATAAGTGGAATATAAACAAGGGGTGCTGGTAAATGGTACCATTTCCCTCCCTTACCGTAAGACCGTAAGTGAAGATCCCAGGGACTTGCTAGTTGACATTTTTTGGGGGGTGCGTGCGGGGGAAGGGTAGGAAGATGGGGCATTTGTGGACAAGGACACTTTGACTCCCCCGGATGAAACTGTGCAAAGATATCATAGTGCCAGGTCATAGGAAGCTGCCTAAGTATAAAAGATACAAGTAACAGAGACCTAGTATTTAATCTCAATCTGGTATTTATCTGAGTCTCTACTTGACCACAACTCTGGGACCCTTATGTTAGAAATGGAAAGCCATAGGGTTTATAGATTATAGACATTTGGGGCCTCAAAGCATTGACTCATTGGTAGACCAAAACACCAGGTATGGGTCCTGGACTACTAAGGGATATTGGTAATGTCTCCCTCCCAGAGTCAGCAGTTGGTTCCCTACTGTCAGTAAGGTTCATGGTCATGCTAACAGATAGGCAGAGGACATGAACATCTGTAATAGATCAGTGCCAGTCTACTGTCCTGACCACTTTCCTGGTACTTTATCATAGGCCACACCAAATTATTAAGTGCTGTCAAGTCAGTTCCAACCCATAGCAACCCTGTATAGTGTTTCCAAGGAGTGGCTGGTAAACTAGAACCACCAACCTTGCAATTCAAACCAGCTTTGCAGTCCAGCGCATTAACCCACAGGGCCACACCAGGAATCCACACCAAATTAGTAAACCTTAAAATAAATTATGGAGTCCTGGTGTGGTGCTGTGGGATAAAGCACTGGACTGCAAAGTCGATATTAACAACTAAGGTCGGCAGTTCAAACTCACCAGCCACTCCTTGGAAACTCTATACAGGGTTGCTATGAGTTGGAACAGACTCGATGGCACTAAGAACAAAATAAATTAAGGGGTCCTGATGTTGTGATGTAGGATAAGCACTTAACTACTAACCATGAGGATGGCAGTTCAAACCCATCAGCCTCTTCCTTGGAAACCCTATACAGGGTTGCTGTTAGAAACGACTCCACAGTACTTAATAGCAACATCAAAAATAAGTGGTCATGCTCATTAGAGATGGAGTATATAGTAAGGGTAAATACTGTTTTGATCAAGTTTTAAGTTATATATATAAATGGGTAGCAGTGGTTCCATACAGTAAGCACTGGACTGTAAACCACAAGGTCCACAGTTCAAGCCTGCTAGCCGCTCTACAGGGGAAAGATGACGCTTTCTGCTCCAGCAAAGATTTAAATTGAAAACCCTATATAGGATCACTATGAGTCGGAATTGTCGCGACACTTAACATTATATGTATGTTGTTGGTAATTGCCGTCGAGTTGGTTCTGACTCATAGTGACCCTGTACAAAGTTTCTGAGGCTGTAAATCTTTATGGGAGCAGAAAGCCTCATCTTTCTCCCGCGGAGCGTCTGGTAGTTTCGAAATGCAGACCTTAAGGTTCGCAGCCCTATTCGTAACCACTACGCTACCAGAGCACGCGCGCACGCACGCGCACACACATGTATGTTTTGACTGCAACTCGAATAACTATTACTTTAAGGCTATGTATACATGTACTGTTGTTGTTAAGTGCCGTTGAGTCAATTCCAACCCATAGCAACCCTGTATAGGGTTTCCAAGGAGCAGCTGGTGAGCTTGAACCACCAACCTTGCAGTTCAAACAGTTTGCAGTCTGGTGCATTAACCCACAGTGCCACACCACATAGTTTTAAAGTAATAGTTATTCGAGTTGCAGTCAAAACATACACATACCATAGGAATCATGTATTAAGCATTATCAGAATCCCTCATTTGACAGTAACTATCAGTAAGCGTGAGAAAGATGAGTCTTTCTGCTCCCGTAAAGATTTACAGCCTCGGAAACCCTGTACAGGGTCGCTGAGTCAGTTCCAACTCCACTGCACATAACCACCACCACCACACAAATCTAATTAGAAACCACTGTGGCCTCCATCAAACAAATCTGATATTTACAAACCCTGGCACTACACTTTTCTCTCAAGGTAAATAAACAGTAAAAGTTAAACTGGGGTATCAATTTCTTCAATACAGAATTTTTTTTTTTTAATATGTTTTATTTTGCAAGCCATGTATTATTCGGTTACATTTCCCCAGTTGATTACATTTACATTCCAAATCATATAGACAGTTTCACAAATTTGTGTCATTCTTGCAAAATATGGAATATTTTAAAAGTGTACTTTTATTTTCAAATGTGTACCAGAACTAGGGAGAGGGTGTTGCCAAATAATAGGAATCACTTTGAAGAAGTAAACATTTGTATTTTATGTAAGTTATCTGTAAATTGATAATCCTTTAAGGACTTGACAAAATTCTCTTTCACTCTTCCTTTTATTGGTAAACATGCACATTATAATTGGTAAACATGCACATTATAGTAGCATGATGTAGAATTTTACTTAACAAAATACTCATAATAGCTAACATCACCTGGAACCATTTTTGTATAGTAGACATCCTATCACAGTGTTGTGGTTTCAATGAATTCTTTCCAATTCAGCACAATTTATTGTGATCATACTTTTGAGATTCTAAGAACGTGAGTAGGGAGGGTTGTTATAGGCTAGGAATTGACAGGAGAAATGTGGGTGTTTTTTTTTTTAAAAACTTTATTAGGAATTGTATGACAGATTACAGACAAGATCATCAGTTTTACATTCAACAAATCATACACTTTGTTTCATCTCAGTGGTTGCAATCCCCTCCATGTAACAAATTTTATCCGGCCTCTTTTGTGGTTCCTACTTCCATTCTACCCAGAGAAAGGTATTCTTCCATCTGACCACCACCACAAATTATTGCATTGCAGGGTGTGGGGAGGGTTAATTTATAGTCAGAGTGTTGTGGTTTTTTTAAGATAAAAAAATACTTAATTTTTCATAATCTAGGAAGTAAAGTTGGGAAGAACTCCTTGGCTGGTGGGAATACAAAGAAGACAGAGCAAGAGAACATTCAGAGCAAGCCCTTAAAAGTAATGGGGTTGTATGAAAGGTTGAATTGCCTCAGATGTTCAATGTGATTATGGTATCATTTGCACTGTTATTTCTTCTGTATACCCAATACAATTAAATTGTTTAGAGGTCAACAGTTAAAATATAATTTTGTATAAGCAGTTTTTGAGCCCTGAAAACCTTACTTATACCTCTTCATTTTGTTCATACCATGGACGAATTCATCTCAACTATACAAACTAGAATCGAGGATTATGAGAGTAAGATCATTTCGATTTGACCCAGGACACCATTAAGTGGTGTCCGGTTTTGGGTGGCAGACTGATATATTTCATTTATTGGGGCTCCAGCATAATTGAATGCCTGGCTTGCCCTGCCACCCAGCTGCTGCTAGTAAATTAACTCATCACTACACCTGTTTTCAGTTTTCTCTTTTGAGGTAAAGATGGCAGCAATGAATTTTGGGGCTTTTATTAAATATATATTCATTTTATGGTGCACAAGACGGTTAACTTCTTCAGTTACTGAAAAGTGTGGGCAGTGATATCTTGCTAAACACTGTTAAATTCATGTGATTACAAAAGGATTGTCCTCAAAAGTTTAATTCTCTGCAGCTTTTGAGATTGGCCAGTATTAACAGGAACCTTCAAAGGCTCTAAACGGTTAATATTAAAGTCCTTTTAATTAGAAAAAAAAATAACAGAGAAACTTTGAAGCCTTGTATTCTAAGCACTGTCAAGACACTGAGAGGAAATTCCAATTTTTTAATCTACTTAAAAGTTTCAATTCTAAATTGATGACAATATATATTAAACTTCAGGTTTAAAAAAAACATTAAGCACGCCCTGTGCTATTAACTGAAATTAATCTACTGATGAAGAAAACTAATTTGGTTATGTTGAAAATAAGGCTTTAAAAGCAGTTGTGATATTTTCCTAAGTCTAGAACTGTTAGTACTAACACAATTATGTTTCAAGCTATATTAAATGAACTGAGCTTAGAAGAAAAAAGGCATGGGTACATACATAGGTTGATGATGCTACAGCAATGCAGTCAGTGTTTTAGATCTTGGATTTTAGGCAGAAACCGAAGAAAACTAATAGGATGTACTTCAGCAATCACTACCATGAATTAATTTCCAAAAATCCTGTCTAGAGTCTACCAGAAATCTTCAGCTTTTGTGTCCACATGGACCATTTGTGTAAAATAGTGCATTCAACACAGTATATTTGTATTGCCTTTTAAAGATATGAATGGCATTCAAATGTTTTATTATGTTACTTATTGAGGTTTCTTGGTTGCCAAAGAGAACTGTGTTCAAGTAGATTTTGGAGCACTGAAACAAATCATCTATACTTTAAACTTACAAAATTTAAGATCTTCAACAGAGTGTAGCACATTTTAAGTTTAAAGTAAATTCACTCTGAAATCAATGGGCAAACACCAGTATCACTGCTCATTATGAAACACTTCAATCAAAGCTTTCCAACAATCCAGCTATAGATATACTATACCAGTGCTAAAAAATGTCTTAAGTTTCTTATCTTAGCCATTCTTTCAAGGACTAGATTCATGACAAGTATTTCAAGGAGCAAAGTGAAATATTCAAAATTAATTTGATGTGTTCCTGACCTTATTCTTAAAACCTACCTGTGACAACATTTGGAAAGAAGGTGTTTCACATTGATGTTTAGACTTCATGAAAAGTTTTAAGGAGTTGTTTGTGACACTCATGTTTCACTGTGTTGACTAGAAACATACAGAAAAATATCCTAGAGAAATTTGGTGTAAAATATGAAAACAAATAAGCAAGCCTTATTTCCTGTTAATTCCATTTTCTCCATACGTTTTTAAAGGTTTTTCATATAAGTTTATATTAAAACAACACAGCGTTGAAAGAAGTTTGTGTTTTGTTGCATCTTCTACACCACACAAGAAAGAAAAGTTATGGATAGAAAACAGGTTTTAATAGCAACATGGTTATTACACA